CGCATAATTACGGCTTCAAAGTTCTGTCATTTTGTTATCCTTCTTTCCAATAAGACTTATGTGTGTTCTTGCTTAGGGCTTGTAAATCGTGAAATAGTTTGTCGCCACTTTTTTCAGGTGATGCTATGTAGTCCGGTAGCTGCATTCCATATTACACATATTTATAAAAGATGGTATAATGATATTAATGACAATTTACAAGAACCCTATTATGTTGCTACACGATTTAGTAAAGGCCATCCTCAATACCAACCTGCGGATCAAATGTGTCATAATGTAAATAAATTGTTTACACCTCTAGCTGATCTTCGAAATGAAAGAAAAGAAGTTATTAATGAACGAAAACTGTATGGAGAGTTGTGGGGAGTAGCACGAGATATTACACAAAAGGCAGTTCGATTTCGGCAACATGATGTTCTTAAAAAACTACAGGATTTATTAACTAAAATACAAGAGGATATATTAGCAAATGACTCTAATAATGACGGTGAGGAGATGTGTAGTGACAGCAATAATAATAACAATGAGGATGATAAAGAAAATGATCTATTGGCTGAAGTATCTCTTCAAAACCCCAAGAGGCGTAAACTGAAAGGACGTCCCAAGAGTTCTAAACGAATCAAACGATCAGAAGAATTGAAGCCAGCTAAGCGCCAAAATCAGTGTAGAAATTGCGGAGAATATGGACACTATAGGCCTAAATGTTCAAAGAAGTAATTAGTGTAGTTTTAATAAGTCATTTATGTAATGATTTGTTTTTTTTAAAATAAAATATTTGTATAGAGTTATGATAATAAGATAGCAAATGTAATTCTGCAATAAATACATTGTAGTTATTTAAATTTGCGCCAAATCAAAATTTCAATACTAAGCTCCATTAGGATTAGGGTGAAATATTATGTTAGGGTAAGGGAGGATATTAGCAGCACTATAATTATTTTGATCTGGCCCAAGTTCTAGTTCGACGTACAACATATATATGTTATGAAATTATATTATTGATATTGTGAAGTATACTAATTTATTCAACCATTTTGCTTTGTTCTTACTGGATACTATTTCATCGTTAAGTATGAATTATTTATCTACAAGAATCAAAGTTAACACAATTTTTTCTGTGATTATGGGTAGGTTCTGATATGATTCCTGAAAAATCGGGTAATATTCAATCATGCAATTTATTTGGCTGCCGTCCTAGCAAGCCATTCAAATTACCTACCAACAAAATTTCAGACAGGTGAGAGGATGATGTAACCAAAACGACAGTCGGGTTCGCAGAGAAGACAAAGTTAAGTCTTATCATTTACATTTACTTACTAATATATATCGTTCCATTACCTTAATACTTACTGATCATACATACATCACTAACTGC